GTGGTGGACGGAGCTGCTGCATGCCTTGTGGGTTTGGCTGCAGAAGTCTGGCTCTGGCTCAAGAAGTTGGACATGGAGGGGTCTGCCATTGAAGTTGCGGAAAGGGGGAGAAGGTGAAGTGGAGTGCAGTGGTGAGGAGTGGGGGATGGTGAAGTTTATTTATACACACAGAGTAAGGATAGGGGATGCAGCAAGGGGTGGGAGATGGTGAAGTTTCTATCTGCAGAGTAAGGATAGGTGATTCGGCATCCACAAGAAGGTGGCAAGGAAATTTCTTATATTGAATTTGGTTTTAGCGGCAAGGGGTCACCAGGTTAGTTTAAGAAAGTGGCGAAGAAATGAAAATTCTTACATTGAATTTGATTTTAGCGGTAAGATGTCTCATCCGGTTAGATTAAGTCGTGGGTTAAAAATGGACTATTTATTTCAGAATTAATGAATTTTCAAAAAAAATTAAATTTTAATTAATAAAATAAAAAATAAATTATTTTTATTAATTAAATCACAGTTTTATAAGTTATATATATAAATTAGTACCTATGTTTCTTATTTTTTAAATTAAACTATTTTTAACAAATTAAGGAAATAAATTTTGTAAATCAATAATAAATTATTTTTTACTTTTTTAATATTTACAATTAAAAATCGAGCAGATAGATCAAATTTTTACACGCAGAAATTATTCTCGGTTGCGTATCATATTCCATTTTACTTTGTGGATTCAACAATTGAATTCAAAACGATAGGAAACAGGAATAGACTTTTCGCACACTTAGAGCAATTATTCTTGGTTGCCTACGTTATAAATTTCCTTTGTTGCTTTAACTATTGAATTTTGGCGCAAAGGGGTGCTCCTGTGGGACCCTTCACGGTAAAGAATCGTTCGTTTTTCTTTATTCTGTGCGAAGGGGAAGAAGTATTAGGAAAACCAGTGGATGTACCCAAAAAAAAATTAGGGAAAACCAGTGGCAGTGGAGATCTGATGGGACATCTGTCACAGAAACAACAAAAAGCAATGTGTACACGATTTTTTTTTTTTTACAAGATAATAGTTAGGAAGTTAATATGAGTTAGTTATTAGCAACTGGTTTTCAAATCGTGTAAACATTTCACTCCCTCAAATGAGGTGCGTGGCTATTAGTTTGCTTTTTGATGAAATTCACGACAGTGATAAAATTCGAAACTCCAACCATTTTATCCAAATACTTAAGGATTGAAATCGAACCATTGAACTTGAAGGTCCGATTCCAATGTGTACACGAATGACAGAGTGTGTCATGCATCCGACCAACTTTTTTCTTTATTTTCTTTGTTTGGATCATCCGATATCATAAGTTTATTATTATTATTTTTGAATAAATTCGCACGGAGAGGGATTCAAACTATTATCTTGGGAGTGAGAAATGCACTTATACGTGGCTTGACATTATTGAATTTGAAAGCCAAGTGCGATATCATAAGTTTATTGGTCCATCAATTAATCTGAATTTGAATCGAGTAAAATTTAATGAATAGTAAAACTTTTTTTTATAAATTTTAGTAGAATTGTATTTTCAAATTTTAAAATTAAAATTTTTAATTAAACTGAATTTTTTTTATCAAGTCACCCATCTACTCATAGTCACGACCAACTTTTTTTAATATTCCTCTTAGCGGTATATGATTTAATTGGTTTAAATCAGGAAAGGTATCTCCTTCTCACCTTTCCTTCTCCCGAGTATTGGGTGCTTAACATGGGAAAAAAACACGCTAACAACAACGTTCGAGATTTTAGTGTCAGGTGGCATGTTTGTGGGGGCGACACGTTGGGTGATAGGCTGAATCGCTGATAGCTTGTTGGGAAAAATGTTGTCAAATGAAAATAGGTTAAATGCTAAATTTGGTCACTCAACTTTATATAGTTACACTTTTTTGGTCCCTCAATAATTTTTTGTACTTTTTTTATCCTCACCTTTGAGAAATATACAACGTTAGTCCTTCCGTCAGTTAAGTATGATGTGACTATTAAATAATTCAATGTGGTATTTTCTTTTAATTTTTTTGATGATGTGATAATATCATTTATTATAATTATATTACATAAATAAATAAAAATACCACATCAAATTAATACCCATCCCCACATCAAATTAATTCTTTTGACAAACCCAATAGATCTGGGTTCCTCGAACCCTTTCTTCTCGTCCTTCTTCCCCTGTTTCTTTCTTCCCCTCCTTCCCCTCTTTCTTCTCTCTTTGTGAAACCCAGATCTATTGGGTTCGATGGAACCCAGCAAATCTGGGTTCCATCTTGCACACTGACATTCATCGTTTCCTTTTCTCTTATTTAGTTCACATGAATTTAAGGTTTGAACATGGATAAATTTTTTTAATTTGCAGTCAAGTTGCAATGAGGGGAAAGGGGAAAAGAGTGGGGGAATGGAGAAGATAGTGCTTGAGTGGTGATGATTGTTGGGTTTCTTTCAAATTTTAAGATTTTTAAAAATTTTAATTAATGAGACTTAATCAATGCTACACAATTTAGAAAAATGTAGATACGACAAGGCAAATTTTGATTATGACATAATAGAACTTGTAAACACAACTAAATTGTAGGTTATGGTTGCCTTGTTTTTCTTTGGACAAAACTGCGAAGGTTGCCCTCTTTCTTTCTTCCCCTCCTTTTTCCCCTCTTTCTTCCCTCTCTGTCAAACCTAACTGTTGGATTTGATCAAACCCAGTAGGTCGAGTTCAATGAAACCCAACAAGTGGGATTAGTTGAACCTAGTAGTTGTATTCAACCTTAACTGGAGCAAAGAAAAAGAAAAAGGGGAAAAAGATAGATCAAGGGAGACCAGGTGCTAAGATAAATTTTTTGTTTTTTATTTCTTTTAATTAAAAATATGAATGTTCATCTTATTTGGCATTATTGTTTGTACACGTAATCAAATTACAATACATATTATTGCCATGTCATCAAAAGAATTAAAAGAAAATGTCACATGAAATTATTTAACATCCACGTCATGCTGAATTGATGAAAGAATCAACGTTGTGCATTTCTTAAAGTTAAGGGATAAAAAAAGTACAAAAAATTATTAAGGGACCAAAAAATGCAACTCTATAAAGTTGAGGGATGAAATTTAGTATTTAACCATGAAAATATGAGAGTGCTCATTCTGGAAAGAACCTCCTTCTTGCATTTATTATTATTTTTTTTAAGAAAAAATAAAAATAAAAATTTTGTTTTATTTTATTTTGAAAAATTATTTTAGTATAAATTTTGATGATTAAGAGTAAACGAAACAATATAAGCGCGTAACGGCGTCGTTTTGTACAGGAGAACACATAACAGTTTCTGGCTATCAGCAAAATGTAAAGGAGCTCTCCAGTATGTTCATCCTCAGTTCCTTCCATTGACGCTCCTCTGCTCCCCTTGGACATTCCAGACTCCACAAAAATGGCAGAAGCCGTATTGTGTGGTGAAAAGTCTACTCAATTTCTTTCTTTTCTGCGCTCTTTAGCCGCACCACAGCCAGGTGCGGCGCCATGCTTCGGCCGTGTCCGCTTCGTCACGTCGAAGCCCGCTCCGCTGCGTGTCTTGGCCATGTCTGTCAAGAGAAGCCCTAAGCGCCTGAAATATTCCGCTCCTCGCTTTACCAAGGTCTAATTTCTTCTCTTTAGATAGTCCTTTTTTTAAAAAAATTTATTTTCTCTTTTTTTTTTTTTTCAGTCTCATAATATAAGGATCGAGGAGAAATTAGCCAAACAATATGCTACTTGTAGTTTGTTTCATTTCGTGAAATGTTGTTACAATCAAGGAGATGTGAGAAATTGGTTTCTAAAACTCTAGAATTAAGTGAAATAATGAAATCACAATCTTCAAAAATCAGTTGAAAACAAATGAAATTATTTGTTTAGGATTTTTTTATAATATGATTTCTGATGACAGTCTTACTAATTGTACAATGTTAGGAGGATAGCTTGCTCTATGTTGAAGCTGATCCATCAGGAGCAGGCAATTGGAAACTTGAACCAGTGATCCAACTACTG